TATCAAATTAGAGCTCGACCATTCCTTTAATTTGCTTTTTTCCAATGATTTCTATCTTTTGATGCCTACAAACATTACAGATTTTTATGTGAAAACAACCCGCTGGTGTCATTAAACTAGGGAGAAGGAACAAACCAAAAATGTTATTAGATGACAGAACATGTAAAAGATGTAATATAAATTCTCTTGATGATGAGAAGCATTTTATCTTTAAATGTCCTTTTTTTTCTTCTGATTGTTTTTGACATGGAATGACAACCTTGCTTTATTGTACTATGTCCATTTTTAGGATACAACTGCAATAAAGACTATTATAATTATTAGTATTATTATTAATATTATTACATGGGTTATTTACATCATTGACAGACTGTATGTGAACCAATCATTTGAAAGTACTGTAAAACATGTTGAAAAAGCGGCATGTAATTTTAGCGAATTGTGATAAAATGACATAATAGCGAAATGTTGATTTAGCGAATCTCTCTTGTCATTGTTGATTTCTTTGTTTGGCGGCTATTTTGAATTGATAATAAAGTCATTAGCGACATCTTGAATTAGCAAATCAGTTCTCTTGCTAAATTCGCGAAAAAGACATGCTCGCGAAATAGACTTTTTTTGACTAGAAACTCAGAATATTTACATTTCTTTAAATTGTCAAGTGGTAAAGGTATGCAAAACATGATCTGGGTTCTCTAGTAAAAGTATTTTAAGAGTACTGTAAAGGTATTAATTATTCACTGGGATTTAATTTTGCTTATTTCGCAGACTGGAAAATGCGCTAAATTAAAACCCAGTGAATATGTAAAATTTAGCACAGAACACATTATCTAAATGATAAAACCGTGAATTTAAAACCCATTGAATATGCCTGAAATGGTAAATCAGCAAAATTTAATCCCAGCGAAAATTAGTCATTTTACAGTATATGGACCCCATTACTCTGTATACAAAATGTACATGTATTTGGATAAACAATGGTGAACAATAGAGGTAATTAACATACTCCAAATGGATGTCACTCAGTGTCACTCGTTAATTTCAATTAATCAAATAATAAGTAACAATTAATAAGTTATAATTAATAAGGTATAATTACTCACAAATGTAAATGGGTTCTCAACATTTTTTAATTTCTTCATTTTGTCAATAAATATTTCTATTTTTTCAGCAGTTTCTGGATCCAAAGCCTGAAAGTAAACAGAGCAGCTTGTTATAATAAAATTATTTTAACTCAATATCAATAAGTGAACAGATGCAATAATATTGTGTTTATTTCGGGAAGGTGATGTATTCACTGTAACCCAGCTTCCTCTGTCAGTTTCTCAATTTGCTACCAAAAATATAGTCTCCATTACATTTGCTACATGATTCGTCTGCGCTCTGAAATTAATTGTGGCGTGTTGATTGGTCACATTTTTATTGAGTCAATTATTTATTCACATCATCACGCCCTTATTTGCATAAGATACGGGAACTACTCTGGTTTCAAGGTGCTTTATGTACCTACAGACACAGCAATCTCAACACAACTCAGTAATTGTACATGGATTTACTGTGACTTTGAAAATGTAACATAAAGAAATACAACAACAGAAAACACCTACATGTTTCTATGGTGTTGGAATCGCCCACTGGTTAAGAAATATGGGCATGTAATTTATTAATTATTGAAGTGGATGACCTTAGTTACTGACATCATTTTCTTACATGATTGAGTGTTCTTCAAATTTTTAGTGGGCAGAACAGGAATCGTATAACAAATTTAACTGGAGTCTATTTTCGGTTGCGAAACGGAGAAACAGATAGAAGTATACAAAGCAAAAAGGTTAATTAGTGACAGAAATTCTATGCAGAGAAATCTGATGAAATAATTTTAGCCATTGTACTGTAAAGTTTTCTTAGCAAATTACCTATTTGGCAAACACAAAAAAATAGAAAGATGATGATATCTTTTAGATTAATGGAGCAAATTATACTACCGTCGGTACTGACTAATGTGAAGTTATCACAAGAATACTGTAAAATACTTTATTTTAGCTGGAATTCATTTTCACTGAAAAGACTTTTAGGTATTTTGTATGGAATTTATTTTCACTGATTTTTGGCGAGTTGACTGTAAAAGATAAGAAAAAAAGTATATTCGTTGGATTTTATTTTCACTGAATCATTCAGTGATTCTCCTTCAGCGAGAATAGTGGAAATTAACTCCAAGTAAAATACCACAAAGTATGCAAAATGATAGTATAGTGATCCTATCGACCATCACCATGGAGATTGATGCAATCCTGTACATACTTTACATAACTATTGTAAAAATTTATTATTATGGATTTTTACTGCTTGTAACATAACAGATAATAGTTTGAAATGGCAATAACAAATTTGTATTTGTTCTATTAGAAGCACATCTCAAATAGAAGCTCATGTAAACAGACAATTCCTGATTCCAGAATCGATTGCATTACATATTTATCGTTTGTGTGTTTGCGCATACTGTGTGATCGAAAGGTACAAGTAGGAAAGATTCTTAATGTTCATAGCATGCATGCACATTCTTTTAAAATAAGGCTTCGCCAGAAAAATTACATTACACACCTGATAAATTGTCTTACACCCTATGTAAAACAATTCTTTTTTATAAACTGGTGATTTGCAATGTTTTGAAGTTAAACTTTCAACAGGTCTTCTCAAAGGCTATTTACCTGTTCACAACCATGATTCATAATACCGTAGTCTCAATGGACACTGTGATTATTTGGAAAAGTAAAACTACAAATGTATGGGTTCATGAGGGTCATATATTTGGTGTTTTGAAAGCTACCTGCTTCCAATCACTCAAACAGTAATACAATATTCAGGTAATCATGAGTAATAACAGAACAGAAAGAGAGTAAACCTTGTTGCAAGGTTTTGTCAATGTATTATGGGAAGTACAGTATTTTGATTTATACAAGTAACAGAAAATTTTAAAATTAACTACGAGTTATCATACCTTTCTTATTGGCTGTTCTTGTTCCAGGCCTGCAATAGCTCTATGTAACGTACCTTCAACTGTTGTTACAGTACCTTTTTGTGAAGTGGATGGAATTTCAAAATCCAACTCTGGAATAGTTACACAAGCAGAGTCAGATTTTATAACCATTCGATTCATATCCTGTTATGATAAAAAAATAAAACAGAACATTTTTTAACTAAGATAAAATGTGTATTGGGGAGAAGGTGATTTATATTTTGAGGGTCAACCATTTGAACTCAGGGGGTGGGTAGAAGAGTGTGACCAGTGCAACTTTTGTTCACAATGACTTATCTGTACTTTTTTGGAATGTGCCAACATTTTTTAAATGAAACACCTTGCATTGTTCAGCCACTTCTATGATTCCAAATGGTTGATCCCTTACAAAAGATGCAGATGAATGCCCCTGCTGATTTTACTTGCAAATATTTGCAGGATAGTGGATTTTCATGGATTGTAAAATCATTTTTTATTCTTGTGAGAGTGTTGTCACATTAGCCTAATTAAGATTCTGTAAATTTGTGCATTGAGTAAAACTTGCTAAAACGATATGTAGCTATTTCAACATGTTTTACAGTATGTTATTAAAATCTCTTCAAAATTGCATTGCTTAGGAGGGTGATACATGTAATTAGTTAATCTTGGTTTTGACGGGCATTTAGAGTCATCACTTGCCTTGGAAAATAAGGTCTGACATTTTCATTGTATACATTTGTGAAGTAATACTATAAATTTTATATTTACCTTGATATTTGTAATCCTGAAAACATAATTACATCCTTTGTTTTGTATCTTTCCAGCTGGCTGCAATTCATTGTTGCTATAGTGACAATGAGGACATTCAAATGACATAATGACAACATCTTTATATAACGGAATCTTTGTCAGCAACAACTTGGTAGTACCCTGAAATTCAAATGAAAAACATAAGACATTGTTCAATGTTGACAAGAACTGTCAATTGTGACTCTACAATCTAGCTCACCCAAAGATTTCAAACTGGAAGTGGAACACTTTACCTGTTGTTCACAGTTCATACACAAACTTTCAATTTCTGACACTTCTTGGTCACCCACTTCGTCTGCGTCTAGATTACGAAAGAGGGGTTTGTTTCCGTATGGCTGTTCTGTCATCGTTATTTCGATTTCATGTATAATTACAGAATAACAGAAATCCAGATATTACGCAGCAGAATTTAAAAACTCTCCGGAAGTGAATAACACGTGTGTTGAACATAACCTTTGACTTTTAGCACTTTGACTTCATTTCAGACGAACAGACATCCACGTACACGCAATTTGATTGGTCCGCTAACCATCATTTCTTTGAACATAATTGTGCAAAAGAAAAGATTTCATGGATTATTTTGCCCATTTATCAACTCCAGAAAACGATTGTCCTCACGACGTTTTACATTTCACTTATCAAAACATTTCGACGAGGTAAAACGGCATTCTATAAATTGTTCAAGGTTACACGACACAGTACAAGCAGCCAATCAAATAACTTCTTTCAACTACTTGTTCACCTGACCCCAACGCACCAATCACGTGAAAGGATTCACCGGCACATGGCGCACGCCGGTGGTTTACACATATATTTCAATCGAGGTTGAAAGTTAATTTCATTTTGGGATATTATTATATAATCATTATGGGGAACGTATATGCATCCGGCAATCCTTCTAATCCCCCAAATCCCTCTCCTTCACCGCCAGTTTCAGCAATAGGTGCGATGCCAACGACGGTCACATCGGCCATGGCAACACGACCAAAAGATGAAGGTCTTCCTAACCCTGGCACTTTTGAAGATCTACATAAGAAGGTTAAAGGTAGGAAAAAATCAAATTCAATATTTGCTTTTGAAATAAACCATAGACAGACATACAGTGTGGTGTTGTGCATATACTTCTAATAGCCTTATTTTAGTTTTAAGGGTAGTTCTTGTTTTCGTCACGTACCGGTACATTTACCATAGACTGAGACATTAGAAATGTATTTCCAAGTACAATACTAGTATAGCACGATTGACCATCAAACTCACTCAGTATACATCACTAATTTTCATTTTCCATATTTTGGTATAGTTTATGTGTGAGAATTTACTAAATCGTATATGGTTTCTATTATCTAGGAAAAGTAGTTATTAGGGTAGTGGCTATCATATTTGATTGACTGGATTTTTAATATATTTAAGATTGGTGATTATAATCAATAAATCACAATAACTGTAAACAGTATTGATATACAAAATTATATTCAGATATGAATAAAAGATAATGATATATAAAGATACTGTTAAAAAGAAATATAACATTTGATTGACCTTTGACCTACCCAAGTGTATAAAAGTATTAATTCAAAGGTAGATAAAGAAAAAATGATATACAACTGTGGTGATTGTTTGAAAAACTCACAATAAATCATTAGACTAATCCACATAGGGATGTTCACTAATGCAAAGGAGTTCTAGTCTATAAAACATGTTATTGTGTTTTTTTTGTAATGTATTATATTATTTGCTCAAGTATTGCATGCAATTACGTAAATGTTTAGTCAAAGTAAGTCAATACACTGGTTGTATATTGCTTGTTGAATCGAACTCATGATTTGTAGTAGTATTTGAGTTCAAATCCTACCTGGGTGTTTTATTGTAAATAGGATTAGACCAACATGACCCTGACCCTGTAAATGCATCAGGCTGAATTCATGCCCTATATAACCACGGTTACTAGAAGGATGGTTAGGAAACTCTCTTGGTTCTTTTGTAAGGTTCATGTCTCTGTAAACATTTAAAACAATAAGATTTAGCATACTGTCAACGTTGCGTTGGACATCAGCAGATGCAGACTCGCGATCGCTTTACTGAAACGATGCAAATTTTCTACAACTTAGTATTTAATTTACAGAAATTATATACTTTTAATACTAATTTAACAATGCGTTGTACTAAAATATAATTCCATTCGATTTTTCAGCAATATTCCCAAACTAATATGACAAACACAGACAAAATGGCTGACATCGCTAACTTTGAGAAAAAAAGCGTTATTTTCTAAATTTTAGATTGAAATTAGTTATGATAATCGCAGTTCCACATTAAAATACCCAAACATTAAAGTAGTAACGAATACTAACATTTATTCGCAAGTAAAATTAGCTATTGTACTTTGAACACGCAAGTTTTCGGTGTACAAAATGCCAAGGTCAGTTTTGATTCACAGACGGCAAATCTGTCAACAAAACTAACTTTCGGTATTTAGATTTTTTCAAGAACAACAAAACCTTGAGTATCACCCAACTTTTGCACAGAAGTCATTGATGCTTTTATGTCGATTTTACGGCATAATTTCTTCAATTTGATACACACACATGGAAAACGAACGAAGATAGCAATACAAGTGATGACGTCATAGTGGTTGGACATGCATCGAAGTGAAGTCAATAGATAATTAGCATATCTAACAATAGAGTTTTCTAAACATTCTTCTAGTAACCCTGATATAACCTTCTTAGAAGTATGGTTCATAAAATCATTGCATTACTTAAGTTATTACCGTTTGTCATTTCCGTGAGCACAATTTTATATGAACGAATTGCAGCACCCTTGATCGCAAACATAAATGCTTTTCGTTTTGCTGCATTCTCACTTACTTGTCTTTTTCAAACGTACCTCTTTCTCAAGGAGGGTCCTGTATTACCTTCTCTGTCATTCTAACATATGTGCCAGGTCTTGTACAGAAACAGGAACATGTGCAAGACTGCAAAAGCATCACCAGCCATGTGCTGGCATGGCAGACTCACTAATAATTTTCACTTAATTGTTGGCAGGAGCAATAGTTCTGCTGGACTCTGATTAAATGTAAACCTAGCATACTTATGTGAGAATGAAGAATATGTACAAGAAAGTTTGAAAATAAAGAAATGTTCGTATGTGTGATTACCCTCTGAAATAAAAAAATATTTTGAAAAGTATTGAATTGTCTAAATTTTGTGTATAGGAAAAAATGACAATATTCAGTTATTCTGAAAACCAAAAATCACATATTGGGTCTGAACAATGTAGACTGGAGATTAAATCGTAACTCAGGCATTTGTACATTTATACTGCCTTTAATACGACTTTGTATGTAGGGGTTCCATTATATGGCGGCTACAAGCCCAAATTGGCCATCCACTTTCTGCCTCTGACTGCCATCGACGGTCTCGCTGCAGTGCTTCACACTGCCAAGATCCTTTTTAATTTATTTTTGACCTGTTGTTACAGGATGATGGCCTGCTATTAAATGCATTTGTGAAATCCCTGTGTATGTAGTTTTTGTCTCAGATGAAATAACTAGCTCATCTTTGGTCCACCATCCAGAATAATTCTGCTGGTCCTCCCAAAATTATACTTGCTATATGGCAAGTGTTGGGTCATGTTATCATTTGCATGGATGTATAATTACTTTAAACGCTTATTATATAAAGCATCATCTCTTTGTAGTGAAAAAATATTATAGTAATGTGAAAATGTATATTTTAATTCAGAACTGATGCCAATGCCATTTGAAGGTTGTAAATTGATGGTCAATAAAGGTCTCTCCAATCACTTTCAAGTTGGACATCAACTCAGTTTGAGTGCAGATAAAGAAAAATCATCTTATCATTTTAGTGCCACTTATGTTGGAACAAAACAAATTAGCCCTTCTGAGGTAAGTGGAATTATGTCTGTGTCACTCTATTGCTATCCCCGTGCGGGAATTAATTAAGGGTCAAAATGTCTTGGAAAGGAAAAGAAAGTTTGGGATAAGGCCTGGAAAAGTCTTGGAAATCATTTGGCTCTTGAAGAATTGCTGCTAATTTCCATCGTATCGACAAATTCTGGGCTTTATGCACCAATCAGGTTTGATCAGAAAAATGTATTAAAACAAGAAAACCATCAGAGATTGAAGATCCCCACATTGAGTGGCCAGAGGTCACTGAGTGTTTTGATTGTAGGACTGTGGAGTATCAGCTACAGTAACTGGGTGTAGCTAAGAGTTGTGCACATCTGAATTGTGAATACATACATTAAACATAATACGACTGATGCATGTAATTTATTTTCAGATTGGATTAAAAATTACCGACTGACATGCCTCATCTGATTTCAATCAAACTACATAATGCATCATGTCACACATATTAATTAACATGCATTTGTTTCAACTTTTGATTCAAAATGGCCAACTAATTTAAGTTTGTTTACTATTGAATTTGTATTTTCTAGTCTTATCCAGTCATTCTTGGTGATATAGACAATAGTGGTAATTTACAAGCACAGTTCATACATCAATTAACAGAAAGGATAAGAACCAAAGCACTTGTGCAGGTAAATATTACTTAATACTATATTTGTACCATTAGCCTTTGCAAAATGAAAAAAAAAAATTCTGGTTAATTTTTTTCAAAAATGAAATGATTTTTTTCATAAAATAATATAAATATATTTGACACACATTTTTTGCTTGTTTCATTACCAGATGCTATTTGATTCGTAAGAATAGCTCTGAAATAATTTACACTCAAAAGTTGGTCATGTGATAAAAATAATGTATCTTTTCTGCCCACCATTCGTTTGCTGATATGACTAGCATTTGACATCACTGGGCCCTCTAACATACAGTGGTTTGTGATTTTAATGAGTCAAAAAAGAAAAATAGAAATTTCAGCAAATGAATTTGGAATTTACCAATGAAAAGCATTAATTGTTTGACTTTTCAAGTGCAAGGGGAGAATACGATTTTATTTATTTTGCAACTGCATCTGAGCTATGAATTTATTGTCATGGTAAAGAACACAATAATTGTAAATTTTGGTAAAATATATAGTGAAATCTTGGAGAGCTGGACCATGAAGATAGCTTGCTTTGCTTGACATTACTCAAAATATTCTAAAAGGATCTAACACAATTTTTTAGGAATACAAATTAAAATATCAATTTGCCAATTGTAACTGATCCATTAAAATGAAAGCAAAACTCTTTCTTACTTCAATACATTTAATTTCAGACACAACAAACTGCATTTTCAGTTGTACAGATGGATTGTGAATACAAAGGTCCTAGCTATACCGCTACGGTGACAACTGCCAATCCCGATTTGATTAATGAATCTGGTATAATAGTTGCACAATATCTACAAAGTATAACAAATAGTCTGTCTATGGGATCACAAATACTATATCAGTATGGACAAGGACAGGAAATGGCCGAGGTCTCATTGACAGCCAGATATACAGGTACAATTTTCTTTTCCTTTATATCCTGAGTTGCATTGTTTTAACTTTTAAGATGATTACATTGTTCTCCTTATGCAAATTTGGCACTAGGAAATGTTTTCATCCCAAAATCCATATTAAATTAGATGTTAGATGTAGACAACCATAAAAACTTAACATGCACACATATAATCAATGAGTCGAGTGCCCAAAATTAAATACTCAAAAAAAATTAAATAGGGTGGCTTGTTGAGTTTTAAAATCAGACATTAAGTATTATCAAAAAGTTGAAAGACCCAAAAGGTAAATCACACACTGGCATTGGAATATTTGTAAAAGTTGAGCCACTTATGTAGCGTAAAAGTCCTAATATAAACCATGGTTTATATTACAATAATGTATCGATTTAAAATTGGGGTCAAAAGCTCAAGTTCGGGGTGCGGTTTATATGCGTACATATTGCAATCACTAAATGGGCATGGTAATTTTTTCCCACAACACCTGCACAAAACAGACAATACATCGTACAATCTCTTGAATATAGGGTCACTCTAACTTAGGCGTCAGGGAATAGTGAAAGGCTTTACTTTAGTTCTAAAATTGGCATCAGTCAATCAAAAAAACTGTTCACATTAAAGAAAGAAATTACTCAGTTTATTCAATGTAATATGCATTTATTTAACAGAAAGTATATTCTAACAGAAGTTTCAAATAAAAACAAACACGAATGCATTGCTTCGTAGCAAATGAGCATGGTACAGGAGCGCAATCCGGCCATGCTGCGGTTCACAAGTGAATAACTTAATGTACTTTCCGGAGTAAAAGCCCAGAGGCCTGAACATGTAAAATCGGGAAAAGTAAGGAGTGGGCTTATACTCGAGGACCACCTCAGAAAAGTTGAAGATTTTTCGTTTTACATGTAACCATGTAACCATGTCACTCATGTTATAATGCAACTCATTTATACGATACTGGTATTCATTTCTTAGTTTTTCAACCACAAAAAGGCGAGTTGGCAACACATTACGAGGAAACTAGATTAAAATTTCAACACATGTACAGAAAATAGACTGAGATATTGTAGAAAATAAAGATTTATTACTCATGTAAACATGTTACATAAACTACAATATAAATAGAAAAAACAGACTTGTAAACAATTCCTGCACGACAACAACGTCGGCATGAGAGAAAAAACGTTTGATTGTATAATTTATTAATTTATTCACGCCCCCTGCTTCGGAGACGAGACTACTAAAGGGAAACAAAGAACAATCACGGTGTTTAACGAACAGATAAAATCGTACATACCGGTATAAAATTGTATTGAAGTAAATAATAAAAGTTGCTTTCTACAGCTGGCGAGAAAAGCTTCTCAGGTCTTTGCTTGGGTGCTCATATTCGTTGATGTCAAATCCTTTGAAGTTCAAATCCCCGTCATCATCGTTTTCTCCCTTGTCGTCGATTAGCAATCCAACGGCTTCGTTATGAAGTACTTTAACATCTTTGTGTGCGATTTTCTTGTAAATCATATCATCCTGTGAGCCATCTGGATTATTGGCGATCGCAGTGACCAGGACAATTTTATTTTCATATCCGTGGAAACAGAATCCCAAGCACGGCTGACCCAGTTGAGAACGTCTTGCCTTGACGGCTGTTTTGGATTGTCCTTTGTAGTACGCTTGTCTTTCTTCATGTACGCGATCCATTCCCATCACAGGTGGTCTTTGAATGGTTTGTTCACACTCACGTTTATTGGCTGAACAATGGACGTACAACCAGCTGGAATAAAAACCAAATCCGTGCTGCCGATCTCGCCTGGGCTGTCATATGTTGCCTTGCCTTGTCCAACACCAACAAAATTCTTTGTCGCTCTCATCATCATAGTTAAAAAAAAAACGTTAATGATTTCCTGGTATGAAGGAGATCTTTCTCCGTCGCTGTCAACAGATTCGTCACTGCTGGAATCAGAATCGTCTGCTACTGGCACTTCGTCTTCATGTATATCAACATCTAAATTCACAGCAACAGACTGCTCGATATCTTCTTGCAATGTTTCATTTCTGTAGCGACTGTCCTCGGTGCCGTCTAGTGCATTTGTCACGAGAAATGATTTCTTCACCATCTTTGGATTTGCTTGAAGTTTTCACCATGCTTTGACGACCCAGTCGACAATTTCTTGTTTTGAAGCAGTTTTAGGTCGCTGACCTGCATCAATACTACTAACCTGACGTTCAATGTATTTCATCCACTCATCCTTTAGATATTGTTTAAATGGTTTGTTACGTTTGTTTTGAAGTTTGGAAGTGCAGCCGCCATGAATTATTGATTGGCGTGTTTTAGTATATTTAAACCAAACTTTTTCCAGCCATTTCTTCATGATTTGGGTGTCACACCAGCCCTTTCTCTGTACATCCACTAACACGCCACTAGGTGCAGAGAGGTTTAATTTGTAAACACCTTTAAATATTATCATCATTGGAAGCACTTCACCGTTACCAGTGACGGTCAAAATAACAGTGAGGTGTCACTTTTCTGCCCCTGTCGACCTCACGAAGACACTTTTCTCGCCTTTCTTATTCAGTGTTGTAGTTGGAAGAATGTCAAAGTACATAGGTGTTTCGTCCATATTACCAATTAAACTTAAATCGAAGTTGTACTTCTGCCGTTGGTTGACGATAAATTCATGAAACGCTGTGATCTTTTCATATGAATCCTTGGATAGGCGCTGTGCTATGGAGGTACGTCGCCAAATTACAAACAAATGACGCCCACAAAACTTCTTTTCCCATCTAGTTGATGCTTTAAATTGAGGATTTTGTTTAATAAGTTCTTTTGCTTTCTAGCATACTAGTTGAGTTGTAACGGGGACCTGATTGTAACGTAATTTCAAAATAAACTGCACCAATTCATCGTTCATCTCAGCAGGATAAGACAGCTTTTTACCGGCACCGGGTTTATTGCCATATTTTGAAACTCGCTGGACACTAAGTTGGTTGTTTTGGTCTTCCTTCATCCACCTGTGTATGTTTCTTTAGTGAATACCATACTTCCTTGCAGTGACTCTCTGCCCGCGTTGTTTTGCATAAGCCACGATTGTCGCTTTCTGATTCCGGGTGTACTTTCTGACTTTCGGGGTTTCTTTGCTGGACTTGGTCGAACTTTCATCGATCGGTGGGTTGAAGTCTTTTTCACCAAGGTTGGTCCTTGGCAGTTCATCTCTTCTGTTGTCAAAAATGGAAAATAGCTTTTTCGAAAACAATTAAGTTATTCACTTGTGTAAAACTCATTTGCCACTAAGAATGCATTCGTTTTTGTTTTTAGAATATACTTTTCGTTATCAACAAAATTAAGAAAATAAATACATATTACATTAAATATACTGAGTATTTTTTTGTTATCATGTGAACAGTTTTTTTTTTAGTCCCTGTTCAGGTGCAGTCCGAAAACGGGGACTTATGTTTTGACCTTCGAGTTTTCGTCTGTGTGCGTTTGGACCTGTATCTTAGAAATGCCTGAACCTGTATATTAGAAATGCCTGGACCAATCACAATCAAACTTTACACGTACATCATATTATACATTTTACATCAATTTGTTTCACGATCTAATTCGAGATGGCCAAATGGGCGGCCATTTTTGTGCTAAAAAATCATCAAAATCAAGCATTTCTCAGCAGTTTACAGATGGATTTTGTTCAAACTTGGTATATACGTTGGACATTATAGGACCTTGATGCACATCATTTTGTTTTTCGGATAAGATTCAAAATGGACAACTGGCGGCCATTTTGTTTTTATGAATGTGGTTCTATTGCCATATCTGACTTGCTTTGACTGATTACCGTATTTGTCTTCAATTAGGCGCCACTTTGTTACACTTTCATGTCATGGTGGCGCTTATTTGTGGTTAAATTTGAGCTTATTTCAAGCACTTCAAGTTCTAGTACCGGTAATTGTGTTACAAGCCATTGTTTTTGCTCCATTCTGGTGATAGATTATTGACAATATTTTACATTACAGTCTGATGCTTAGTCACTGTAGCCTTTATTTTAAATACTGAGTAAATGACCCGTTTCAGACAGTTTAGAAAGTTATACAAAAAATATCATTCTTTAGAAAACATTCACAGTTTGTCGTACAATCAACAGAAAAATAAAACAAACACAATTTCAACGCTTAGTAGTCAATGATCACGGTAGCAAAATCCGGTCATGCTGCATTCCACGGTTACGATTATTACTCAGTAGTAGTTATAATAACGTACAAAAAATAAAATGCAAGTAAAAATTCAACTTAATTTCATCGTAAGCGAATGATTCTGGTCGCATGTAAACGCTCGGCGCGATTCGATGTC